CAAACTGGTGACTCGTAAGTTATGGGAGGAGATAAAAAGACAAAGCTCTGGCTAGATCAACTTCTGATTTCAGAACTATGATAGCCAATGGTAATTCTTTCAGTGAAAATGAAAATTAATACAGTTTCATTGATGCTTCGAACAAGGCAGACAGATCCTCTTCTGACTGAGGGCATGGTGCAAGCTTGGTGACCCTTTCCTGAAACAGTAAACAAAAGGCGTTATCAAGGGCTTTGAAAAGACAGTTTGTAAAAGCTACTAGGTTATGTAAACTAACTTGGGCAAATGAAGCAATGACTTGATATAGTTATATCTTTAAAAATAATATTTCTTGTTTGCTTTGTAGTAGCTAACCCCCAACTCAGAAGTTTATCAAGTGACACTTCTCTCCCACAAAGTTTTCAAAGGTCATCGTCCTTGCCTTATGCCCTGGCAATATCCTTCTGCCCAAATGTACAGAACCAAACCAGCCTTGGGGAAAACACCTATGATGACCAAGCCACGTCAGTCAGCAACCTCTGTCAGCTCTCCCTGTGCAGAGAGCACTGCCCCAGGCATAGTGTGTGCAGCCAGAGAAAATAGAACCGGATCCTTCTTGACTTCAAAGGCTGTATGTTTTGTAACTTGGACTTTAGGTATATTCAGAAGGACATCAGGACATAACTTTCAGGCTATGGGCAACAAGTGACTCCTTTTTAAATATTAACTAAGATTTCATTTCCACTCTCCCAAATAAATTCATTGCCTTGCTTAATTTTTCCAATAATTATTGAGTCAAGGTAGCAAAGCCAGCCAGCACATCCTTTTGCTATTTATGTTCCCATCAGTGGCTCCTTGATTCCTCTGGGATAGGGGATTAAAAGACATTATTAATTTCTGGGCCTAAATAAAATTAAGAAATGTGCCAGTTTTGGGGGTTCCATTTTCATCGGTCTCTTGGTCTGTGTTCTTGTGATAAGAACTCTTTGGGGAGCATGTGTGGTATAAGAGGGACACTCTATGAGGACAAGGCTGTGCTCACTGCATGCCCAGCACCCGCCAGAGTGCTTGACGCACAGTTAACAGGTGCTCAACAGTTATTTGTTGAACTAACGAAGAGGTTGGGAGGGGGAATATTGGCATCTCGAAATAATTCACACACGTAAGACAGTACTGATTCCCTGTCTCCCATTTTTGACATCTCAGAAATGATATCCACTCAGGCAGGTCCGACCACTTCTCACCTCCCATTTCAACACAACCCAAGTGTATGTCGCCCTCCCTCTCCTGTCTTACTTGCAAGGCCTCTTAAAGTCGTTTCCACTTTTCCTTCACTCTCAACCCCTTGAGGTCATTCTCCCGATGGCAGCAGAGTGATTCCCTCTCACCTGCAGTATAAATCTGATCACACCACTTCCCTTGCTTAATGCTCTCTGATAACTTTCCGTTGCAATTAAAACGAAACAGCCTCTGACGCCACCTGATCTGGCCCTGGTTCTCACCCCAGCTCTGGGTCTTCTCCCATTGGTTCATCTCACTTAGACCCAGGTCCCCTTTCGGTCCTATGAAAAGGCTGATGCCCACCCTGTCTCAGGACTTGTCGCCTCTGCCTGGAATACTTCCCCCAGATCTTCACGTGGCTGCCTCCACCTCAGTCAGAGGCCTGCTCTGACCATCCTTACTGGAGTTTCTTCTGTACTGTCCTGTGTGAAATCACCCAGGTTTTCCTTCATACCACTTATCATTACCTGAAATGATTTCATCTGTATCTTATTTATAGATTTGATTAGATGTTCATTGTCTGTCTCCCTGCAACTAGAATGTAGCTCCATGAGAGAGAGAAAGAACTTTTATTCTCCTCCTCACCATATGCCATACAGTGCATGGTCCATAGCAGGCCTCTCGAAGCAGTTGTCAGGTAAAAGAAAGAATGAAAAGAAGAAAGGATGTAAACAAAAAGTAACTCGAAACTGACCTAAATGTAAAGACTTGAAAGCAAGAGGTAAACCTTAAAATTCTTAAGGGGAAAATTTTCATGACTTTGGATTTGGCCAAAATCACAGGCAACAAAAGAAAAAAACAGATAAACTGGACTACAGCAGAATTTAAAACTTTTATACATCAGGGGACACTATCAAAAGAGTGAAAGATAACCAATAGAATGGGAAAAATATTTGCAAATCAGATATCCGGTAAGGGATTAATATCCAGGATATAGAAATAACTGCAACAACTCAACAACAAAAAACCCCAGACAACCCAATTCAAAAACAGGCAAGAACTTGAATAGACATTTCTCCAAGGAAGATATATAAATAGCCAATAAGTACATGGAAAAATGCTCAACATCATTAGTCATGAGGGAAATACAAGTCAAAACCGCAATGAATTTCCACTCACACCCATTAGAATGGCTATCAAAAAAAAAAAGAAAAGAAAACAAGTGTTTAACAAGTGTTAACAAGTGTTGGTGAAGATGTGGAGAAACTAGAACCCTCATCCACTGTCGGTGGGAATGTGAAATTATGCAGCTACTATGGAAAACAGTTTGGCAGTTCCTCAGAAAGTTAAACATAGAATTACATGATCCAACAATTCTATTCTTAGTTATATCCAAATAAATTGAAATCAGGGACTAAAATAGTACTTGTAAACAAATGTTCCTAGCAGCACTATTCACAATAGCCAAAGGGAAGAATCAACCCAAGTATTTATCTGCAGATAGATGGGTAAACAAAATACGGCATATGCATACGATGGAACGTTAGCTGTAAAAAATAATATAATTCTGAAACTTTGAAGATATTACGTTAGGTGAAATAGGGAAAGCACAATAGCACAAATATTGTACGATTCCACTTACATGAAGTACCTAGAGTAGGTAAATTCATAAAGATAAAAAGCAGAATACAGCTTACCAGAGCCTGGGGGAAGGGAGGATGGGAAGTCATTATTTACCATTAGACGATAGGGCAGAGCTTCTATTTAGAATGATTAAAAAGTTCTGGAAATGGATAGTGGTGATGGTTTTGCAAGATTGTAAATATACTTAATGGCATTGAATTGTACATTTAAAAATGGTTAAAATAGTAAATTTAAAAAATAAATTAAAGAAAAAGGGAAGGATGGACGGGCAGATGAGAGGATGGGGGACCGTGCTGAGGAGTGCGCGTGAAGCCCAGGGAAAACTGTACACCCAGTAGATCTTTTAGAGACTCTAAAGAATTTTGAAAATCCAGAGCAAGGCAGAGACTTGTTCACGGTGACCTGTGTATATGTTTGTGCCACGATCAAGAACTGAAGTTCAGCCATTTGCTATGGCCGAAGATGACTGCCCTATCATTCTGTTTATAACAGAGAGAGTCTGATGCGATAAGCTCAAAGGCCCTGAAGATGATCCTGTCCATCTTTGGTGAACTTGTTTAGGGCTCTCAGAAGTACCTCAGGCCAAGCCGAGCTGAGTTTCTCTTCCACATGTCTAACCTCCAACGACTAGTTAAACAGTTTGTGATATATCGCCCACACATATCATGTGTGCTTTATAAAAACTAAACTCTCAGAATGAAGATGTGTTCTGCAATGCACTCTTATTTATAGACGTGTAAGACCGAAGGACAACGGATTAACATGGGCACCGAAATAAATCTAGACTTCTACTTTTAGCACATTCATAAAATAACAACATTTCGGCTGGCCTGTCTGCCAGGGAGTGGAAGTGCTCATTTGGGTAGACAGCTCTCCTCAGTAATGAAATGTTTTGATTTGAAATGTAAATGTTTCTTTCCAGAGGTTTCAGAAATCCAGCTTGGAAGATTAATTTATTCTTGCCTGCTCCCCTCGCAGCCTGGCGATGGCGGTTGGAAGCTTCTGTACACAGGGCTGCTATTTGCTGCCGCCACTATGAGCGGTGGTGTTTGGTCATGAATACTGGCCTGGTTGTTCCTTCCAGAGGAAAACAATCCCCCACTGCTGAATATAAAAGGAGCTTTATCGAATGCTGACTACGTGAAATAACCTCTTTGCAGGAACCAGTATGTCCCCCTCACTATATTAAATCCTGTAGGTACTAATAAGTGAAGATTAGTCTGTAGCATGTGTAAAATTCTGAAGTTGCCATAGCATCGTTGTAAAACGTTCACTGCTGCCCAAAACAAACAAGAAAACCCCACAGTAATTCTTCATTTGCAAGATTATTTCTGAGTCCTTCTAAAGTTCTGTGAATAAATCCCTCTCTTTCTTTATATCTATATGTCTATATTTATCTACTTTCTTTCTTTCTTTCTTTCTTTCTTTCTTTCTTTCTTTCTTTCTTTCTTTCTTTCTTTC